TAAGTGAAGGTCGGTGTCTACTTCTGACATAAATTTGTCAATGAAATTCTTCAGATCATCAGAAAACTGCTTCATCTCAGCCTCACCTGTGAACAAAAATCATTTGATAAAAAATAATATATAAAAATAAACATTTTAAAATGTACAATAAAGCTAAAAATAGAACAATCTTCTAGCCTACCTCCCATAAAATCAATAGGAGTTCTGATGTTAATGAGACGACTGATGAATAATATAACTTGATTCCTTATAGCATTCTCTTCTTGTAGTGAAAAGTTCTCTTTCTCACTGTTATCCAATGAAGGCCAAACACACAACTAAAATAAAAAAAAGAAAGAGAAAGAGAGAGAGAGAGAGAGAGAGAGAGAGAGAGAGAGAGAGAGAGAGAGAGAGAGAGAGAGAGAGAGAGAGAGAGAGAGAGAGAGAGAGAGAGAGAGGGAGGAGATAAAATAAAACACAACATATACATGTGCATTTATATGAGCCAAATTTTGTTTTTTATATAAACACAAAATCTCACAATCCCTCCTCACCCTCTTAGCCAGATGATGGAGTGCCTCATAAGAAGTAACTGGTTTAGAATCAGGAGGGAGGACACCCTCAGAAGCACCTGGTAGAGTAGTGCATGCTCTTATCCTCATCCTTGCACTCTTGCTCATGACTACGTTCCTTGCTGTGTTACGGGCACGAGAGGGAGACACACTCCTCACCCTCTGCCGGTGTCTAAGGGTCACCTCACCTAGCGACATCTCTACATTATCAAACTCATCTTCTCTCTCACCAGATACATCAAGGTCTTCATCTTCCTCTGAGAGAGAGAGAGAGAGATAAAGAAGAAATAAATAAGAACAAAGATTAATGAACAAGTACTAGTAATGCAAGGTAGTGTGATACTTCACCTTCAATAGACTTTGGTTTCTCTTTCTTGAAAGGTACGTCAGCGTAGAGTCTGACCAGTTCAGCCTGTATTGCACTATACAGTGAATGACACCAAAACCTCGTGCTCTGCCAGAGTCTATGAGACTGTATGCAGGAGTACAGATATTGATTGACTCCTGGTTGTATCTCCTAAAAAAAGAAGAGGAGAAAATAACAATTAAACTATCTTCTGTCTTTCTTTCTTCACTCCTTCCCCTCCCTCTCTCTCTCCTTCTCTCTCTCTTTCTCTCCCTCTTTCTCTCCTTCTCTCTCTCTCTTTGTCTCCACTGACCTGATAGAACACAGATGTCAATGGTAGTATCTGCATTGCTATCTTCTCATCAACGAGTGCACAATTAACCAAACGGACCATCACCTCAAACTGATCCGGTGAGAGGTAAGCCCCGTTCCTCATTAACTTATTCACAAGCTCCGGAATAAAAATAGGCGTAGTCACTCTCTGACGAAGGGACATGGTAACAGAGGGAAAGTACTTCCGAGCCTCGAGGATCCGAGAGCTGAAGAGAGCATCAAGAAACTTGTGGAGTAGCTCAACATCTCTCATTAGAGAGTTTGAGACTCGTCTGTGAGTCGAGAGCATTGGAATGAAATCCTGTTCAGTCAAAGGGACATTACTAGGAGAGAGAAGGAAGAGAAAAACAAAGATGAATAATGATAATGTACATATATGTACATGTAGCTGGTAATTTTGAAGATGTAAACTTCTGGCAAATTTCATGGCTGTGTTCCATTAAGCATGCACATAACAGCTTAAAATGCAACGGTTTTATATGGCAAATGGTTATCAAAACTTTCCTAACTATATAATCTTTTAACAAAAATGCTAATGCAACGTACATGGTCATTGGCAAGTAGTGTTTCATTTAAAGTCTTACCTCATTGCATCCTCCATTTTAGCTTCTTCAGCTCCTTTCCACTTCAACTCAAGATCAGCACACTGCTTGGTAATGCTCTCCTCATCAAGATATGGAAACCTCTTGATTGGTATGTTATTCTCAAGTGGGAGGGACTTGGTCTCTGATTTAAACACGCCACCAAACTGAACAGTAGGGGGACACTGTGTGAGAGAGAATGAGAGTGAGTGGCAGCTTATGTACATGTAGTACATTAAAACATAAATAATATACGTACATGTATATGCACAATGGAGAAATGTCTCCTGGGAATTTTGATGAAATACCAGGTATATTGGTACTATGCATGTTTTTGTACATGGTCTTGGGCTAAGTTTTTGGGAAACCTTAAAAATTCGTATAAAATCCAATTTTGATCAGAATGAGCTCAAACTTTCTACACATCATAAGAATATGTATATGTATCAGGAAAAATTATAAAAATGTAAAAATCTCACCTTGCCATTTTTGACAAAATTTGGCCAACGACCCTGTACTATAGTACAGGGTCTTTGGCCCGATTTTGGAGCAATTTTTAAAAATTCATATAAAATTTAAATTTGATCGGAATGAGCTAAAACTTTCTACACATTATAAGAACATGTATATGTATCAGGAAAAATTACAAAACTGTAAAAATCTCACCTCACCATTTT